GACTGGGCAATACGCCATAGCATAGATTTATGGCTATCTTATGAGCTCAACTAAGATTTCCGAGTGCTATGCAAACGATTTTAGATTTCTGACACTTCCAAATCATTAATAGTGCACCAAAATAAAACTACCGACCATATTGCAACTTGGTAGATAGCATTCAATCTGCACTAATAAGGACTTGACACACATAACATTGATCATCACCCAATGATCAATCAATTGTGATTACATCTCAGTCCTACAGGAGGTCGGTCGCGGCCCGGATAACTCAATGGTAACGCTTCTGAATGTGAGGCTGGGTGACACGGGATCGAATCCGCCAGGAAGCACCAGTCCCCTCAAGATTACAAGTACACCATGCTGACGAGTGCCAAGTAGCACGAAACCCGGGTCCAGGGTTTCCTGTTGACTACCTCAAACCACAATCTAATCTCACAATAGCGCACGCAGTGTCGAGTCACCTAGATTGGTGGCCACACTGCGACTTGGCCGATAGCATTCGATCAGCACTAAATAAGGACTTGACAAACATGATATTGATCACCACCCAGTGATCAATAAATTGTGACAGCCTGTCTCAGTTTTCATGTGTGCCTGAAAAGGAGATTAAAACTGAGAGAATTGTAATGCTAGTTCATACAGATGCGAGCATAAGAAGCACATTGCACACCCGTTATAGAATAACTTTACGAAACTTCATCTGTTCGGACTTGCTATTAGGCAGTCGTCAATATACGCATGTACGAAGTTGAGACCTCGAAAAACGTCGTCTATAAACCTTTGGAAGTTTTGTGCAGCGTTTCTTAGACCGAAGGGCATTAGCAAAAATTCGTAAAGTCCGAAGGGAGTTATGATAGCTGTTTTCGGAATATCGTCATTAGCCATAGGGATTTGGTGATACGCTTTAATCAAGTCGATTTTCGAAAGACAGTTGTAATTTTCAAGATAGCTGTGAAATCGTGAATGTGAGGCAATGGGTAACGATCGGGAGTGGTTTACGCATTCAATCGCTGATAGTCACTAGTTGGATGCTAGTCGTTGCTGTCCTTTTTAGGAACCATGTGCAGTGGAGATGCCCATGGGCTGTTTGACGGTCTTATGATACCTAAGTCTATCATGCGGTCGAACTCACTTTTCCCCAACCTCAGCTTTTCGGGAGCTGGTCGGCGTGCTTTTGAGAATGCAGGTGGTCCTGTAGTAGTGATGTGATGCGTAACGTTGCTAGTTACACACGGCAATTTCGGTTGCGTTCGGTGTATCCCAGAATACTTATCGAGTAGTGGTTGATAGGATGGGTCTATCGTGTTCTTAATCGTGACTGTAGATAATCTGCAACCAGAAGACGAAGTTACGCAAACAGATAAATTATTTGGTTATTATTGTTATCATTTAGTTATTTTATTCATTTACTTATTTTAAGATATTTTATACTCACCCCCCTATTACCTAATTCCTAAACTAAATTTTATTCACACATTTTTACCACCTGATCCTCTTAAATTATCTTAACTTTTCAAATTCTATTTAATTATTATTACGTAATCCACCTTATTATTATTTAATTCCATTAATTATCACACAATTCATGAACTTCACTAAACTATTACGCCACCCAACCTGAATTGACCCCGCTTTTTGACCTCTGACCTGTTTCTAGCATATATATATATATAGTTATTATTGTAATCTAGTGATTTACACTCATTTATGTCAACTGCTTCACACTATCTCCATGTAAAAAAAAATTCTGTCACAATTTTGGTTTGTAAGCAGCTGACGAGAAACCTCGAAATAATATGAATTAATACTATTCTGCATCAATGTTTGTTCTTGCTCTATTTACATAAATTGATGTTCCCGTCTACTAGCCTCCGTTTACGCGTATCGATGAGTAGCATTATGCTGTTGTAGAAGGTCTATACCAATGACTGCAATAGAAAAATCTGCAACAACGAAGATCCAGTGAATGGGTTTGCGTAAACCCACGTTAAGGTAAACGTACCTTTTGCCGTATGTGCCGATAGGCTTTCCGTTTGCCGCCTGTCAGTTTAAAGCCGATTCATGAAGCCGGTGTTAGAATTCGCTGCGAGAACGCTAACTTCTGCGCCAGTGTCGACGAGGTAGCGAACTCTCGTCGTCACATCTGTGACGTATAACAGACGGCTATGTTCGCAGGCTACGGTTGCCGTTAACGCGTGCAGGCTTGGAAGTTCCTCAAGTTGTTTATTGTGTCGGTCGTTTTTGAGTTGACAAAATTGCAAAATTTTCTGCAATTTCTGGAAGACTTTCCATATTGGTTATGATATCAGCACCAGTCGGGGTTATCCGTCTCTCGTGGTCTAGAGACAGATCGCTTACGTGAAGTGCTTCTTCGAGGGATGTGTGACCGTTTACGGTCGTTACGAAATTTAAGATAACGTGTAAGTGTATGACATAACAGAGTTATGTCATTCTGGGTTGTTTGAGGCTTTTCTCTGACTGAAAAACCTCGGCGTTGTTTTGAAACGATACCAGCACAGCTTGCACCTATTGAGGAAGTTTTAATAGGTTCGTTCACTCCGTGCTCGTAGAAGTCAGCTTCTGAGTAGCAAAACAAGGCTTCTATGTTGTCTAGCCAGTTGGAACGAAGGTGGGGATATAGTCTCAAGCTTAAGCACTTTGGGTGTCTGTTCATTCATGATGAAATATGAAGTAAGAGAATGAACAAGGCAAAAGAATATATATATCCAAAAACACGAAAAAATATCAAAATGTATAAAAAGTTGAGATAAGGCAACGATATATAGAATCCCAAAAAGGAACAGATTCTTAGTTTGCGATTTGGTGTGCCAGATCACGTTAGGCTCACCAGTGAAGATGCCACAGGTATTCGGAGTTTGACAACGCTTTAACCAGTTACACTTTCTATTATGAAGCGTACACACCAAGTGAAATCAAAAGACAAAAGCGAGGAGGTTCGAAGATATATTTGATAGGCTATCAATATATCGAGAATCGTCTGATCGAATCTGACTAACGATTGCGGTAGACGTTGAGCACGGCTTTCTCACTCGCGATCTGATGCGGATGCATGAGTCCATTAAAACTAATGTGGTCAGTATCCAATGTCGAAAACGTACGGGGCTATTTATTTTGGGACTTGTTTACCGCTACGCTGTAATTGTATTTCATCAACATGTCGGTTGTGTACTTAAATCACTGATATCTAGAATTCGTACCATAGATTTTCCGAAATTCTTTACCACAATCCCTATGGCTGGCCGAAGATCATTTCCACGATGATATGTAACTTCATCAGACTCCAAAGACCTCGTAATCGAACGAAGAATTCTTCCTTTTAGTGGCTTTAATGGAGTTTCTTTCGTCACAGAATGTTTAGCGTTTCTATAGTGCAGTAGAGAAGTATCTATTTGAAGTTGTGAAACAAACTTCAGGCCACTTCGACAAATAATCAATGACTACATGTGCATAGTATTTGCCAAGAAATGGACCACAATAGTCTGCATGAATTCTCTGCCAGGTCTAAAACGATACTGGCAGTGGAGTCCACTGCGATGACCGATTCTCCAACTTATGGCATTTTTCACAATTGGTTGCTGTACGATATATCTGCATTTATCTATGGCCACCAACATGTGAGGATTGCCAAGTACATAATTTTCTCAACACCTAACTTTCCACTATAAAGATCACCGACGATAGATTTACGCAATGAAGGAGGAATGACAAAACGATCATTTAAGCACAAAATACCATCAGGAGTAATGGATAACTCATCCCGCATTGGAAAACAGACAGAAAATCTACGTTTCAGATTAGCATTACATTTCCGTATAGCACTGAGTATACATCCAAAGTATCTACGAGTTCCCCCAATGAGACCTGGACGTCTCACCGGTAAAGGCTGCACTAACGAACAGTCTGAAGTATTAAAAGGTCTATCTCATAATGATTGTCGAGAAAGGCAGTCAACGTGTTGAATTTGTTTAGCACTCTCGTACTGAACCGTATAGTCAAAGACACTCATAACAATGCTCTATCGTCGAACCATAACAGCTGAGGAATGTGCTAAAAATTTTCAAGATGACAGGTGAATTTTAGAACAGTCTTAATCTGTATTCGCTAAAGTACTGAAGTGTCTGAATAAAACCACAAGTCACGCTTAAAGCCGTTCAAGAGCTACTGCTCTTCCGAAGCTCAAATAATAATAGGAGGTTTGAAATTTGGTTTAGCAATCTCAACCAGTAGCAGACAAAATTGCTAGAATGACACTAACCTGAAAAGTCGTCTTAGCTATTTAAACTATGTTTCAGGGGTTTCCACTAAAAGACTAACCTCATCTCATATTAAAGGCCCAAATCCCTTGGAAATCGTGAGGCCAGTATTCCTTTTGACCGCCAGAGCAACAATTAACATGGTTTTGTGTAATGTCCAAACAATGTAAGAGGCCAAAACGACCAGTCCAGTAATACTGTGGTTGATCAGATACAACATGACGGTAATCGGAATACGTGAAACCCTTTCGCCGCATTAGCTCGTTTCAAACACCTAGTATATTGAGTCGATGTGAATGGCGTTTGAGCTCACTGTGGTATTCTGCCGCGCAGTTTCGAATTTCTTGTTCCACAGCTGTACAAATGGCATTAAAACGTATATCTAAAGTAAGAAAGTGTTCAGTGTTTTGTGCAGCAGAATTGTTTTATTAAGGAGTTACAGGACTTAAGTGTAGATCCTCCAACTCAGTGTTCAGCTGGTCCTTGTGAAGATGATCGTAAGTCAATGTATGTTGTATTAGTTTACATTTAGTATTTGTCTGGCAAGCCACTATTATGGGACCTGTACGTCTGTCTATTCTGTAATAATGTACTTGTAGGCCGATAGTCCATATGAAGGTGGAGTCTTTTCCCTGAAAATACTATTTCCCACAGACTACCCTTTCAAACCCCCTAAGTAAGCGTTGTATCATTGTCAAGTCAACCTTGTGACAGATCAGTTTCATGACGAAAATATATCATCCGAATATAAATCCCAGTGGTAGTATCTGCTTAGATATCCTCCGTGGACAATGGTCTCCTGCCCTCACAATATCGAAAGGTATACATTCGTATATAAATACTCAATTTGTGTTTAAATTAGTTCTACTCTCAATTTGTTCACTATTGACGGACCCCAATCCAGATGATCCTCTATGCCCGGACGTCGCACGTCAGTACAAAACAGATCGTAAGAAATACGATGAGTTAGCTCGAGAGTGGACACAGAAATACGCTATGGATCCTTGATACGGCACTACACAAAACATTTCGATAAACGTATTTTCTCCTTTCTTCTTGTACTCATTGATGACGTACGTGTTACATTTAATGTCGGTCGATTTTTTTCAGCCCTCGAGTAACCTTACTTTCTTATTCTATTCTTACTGGTTTGTCAGTTGTGCGTTTGTGAAAATGCTCTTAAGGTTGTCACGAGTATTTCTTCTTTTTTTTCGAACAAGACTTGTGCCGTATTTAGTGACAGTTGGCGGTACAGGTTGGTTCACTCAGACGTTTTCATTTTTTTAAATATTTAATTGTATCAATTCACTTTACGAGAAACTCATTACTTGAGCAATTGCTGCTCGTGATACTCATCATCTAATCTCTCAGAATCTAGTAATCTGTTTATATTTGACCAAAGCTATTAAAACTTGTGTTTATTCAAGAGATTGCTTTAAGGAAGAGTGATTTCATGTTGGGAACAAGATTGCATCAATGAGAGTATCGGATTTTATGGCAGTCTAATCTTGTTTTTCAGTAGTCTGTTTACTCGTGTTAAGGCGTGTATTTTCGTTAGCATAATACGCTTATTAGTTTGTATGAGGTTCTTAATGACGATCCTAAGCATAGTTCTCTAGTTACTTTATATTACTACTGTTTTCAATTAATCGGTTCTAATGTCCCTGCATGACTATCGTATTCTGACAAAATTAAAGCGGTTCATTATCTCATGTTGACTTCTTTGCCATAAAACGGCCATTAATACTGTAAACTAATGTATCGTAGCAAGTCGAATAATAACTGAATCGTTTCATGGTTCGCAATTCTACTTCAGTAGACCAAATATTATAGCTTTGAGAAACGCATCAGCTCTGTTGAGCCTTAATAGAAATAGTTTAGCATAATCTAGTTAAGGGTATTGTTACCGGAAAACCTTATCGAGACCTACTTTGGTACTTCTGATTCGTTTTGTTGTTAGCATCGGTTCGAAATAGTGTAGTTGCAAGTAGATTTTTGAAATCTTGCACCCATCTTCTCACCTGTTTTATAAACATAAACAACTACTTTCCTCATTTGACAGTATTTTGCCGTAGTTGTATATTTTATGGATAGTACTGTCGACCGATACAGTTCGTAATTTTTGTTACTGTGTAGTTACAACATCGTTTTTCACTCTTCAATGTAGTTATTTCTACTCAATACACAATTGGACCTGATACTTATGGTAATGTAAGCAATTTGTAACAGTCTTCCGAGATGATGCACACCGTTTGAGATGTGATTTCTAAGCTCGAATCGATTGTTTGTTGAGATCAGAATCCACAAGTTCAAATTTTACTCGTTGGTCCGCATATCTAGAACTGATTATCATCATGTTTTCTATGTATAGCTTTAACGGTCTTGCTTGACAAGTTAATTCAGGACAGGCTTTGGTCTTCTGATAATTATCTTGCCCATTTCTTCACGCGAACTCTTGGTACTTTCGTTTTTGAAGTAAGCATAAATAGAACTTCCAGTACACTTGAAATTACGTTAATGGATATTGTTGGTTATTAATAATATATTTATGGACAAGAGAACCATGTAGTGTGTATTTCCGAGCCTTACCAAGTCCTGTCATACTGCTAATAGTTAGATTTTAAGGATCTGACGATGCTATAATGCGAGTTGGATGTCAGCACGAATGGAAGAACTTATTGTGGGTAGTGAGAACGGTAACGGCACATTCATGTTTAGGAAATAATTCTGTCTTAGCATGAAGTCGTTGTACTTTCCGAATTGAAATATATATTTTATGCAATCCAAGGAAGTTTGTTTTGCTTATACTTTTTCGAAATCCATAGATTATAAGCTTCTATCATGCGGTGATTCATCCACGAAAATAGCCGTTATTTTAAAGATTTCACCGTAATTAGAGTGCGACCACCCATAAGTCATGTGTCTGGAGGAAGTGATTTCCTCGAAAATCTGTAACCTACGCGTGCCCTCTACTCCCTATGATCGTTTTCTAACTATAAACTGTGCAGAGGACTAATGAGGAATATGCTCGTCCTTTGCTTAACAGACGGTTTTCTCGCCTACGCGAAGGCTAACCAACTTTTCTGAATCCTTGACATGATTGTCATATAACAATCGACCATGGTTCATGAGACTTCTGAGATAAGTAATGTATGTATGTTTCTTCTATGCATATTTGACCGGAATAATAGCTTTATAGTGAAGAGGTTTTCAGCAATATAATTAGAATGAGTAAATTTATGGTATCTCAAAGTAACGGTAATTTTGTCACTGAAGTAAATGGTGTATTTCCAAATTATATTGTTAGTGCACCGAAAAGTGTGATGAGATGATCCTACCACATCCTGACACTTGTTAAAGCCTCTTCGTCCGAATCTGAATACACAGTATTTTAGATTCGAACAAAACAGTCAGTCTATTTTTCGAACTTTGGTAGCGCAAAGTAAGAAGACAATTTGATCCGACAATTAATATTTTTTATTTGCCCAATGCACTCTGAATAACAATTTGATCATATTTATTTACAATTGGTTGATCACTGTGTAGTAGAAAGTCACCGGCAACCCGAATGACGTGGTACTAACGTCCTTGATTTTGAATTGTAACTGGAGATCGAATGTGTTAGGGAGCATCAGTCCCTTCAAGATAGCAGGCACACCTTGTTCGAAGGTGTGAGATATCACTGGACTTAGGTTAAGCTGGGGATCCTGCCGACTGCTTTCGGCTGCCACCTTACATGATGATGCGTATATTTGTCATTTATATATGGAAGCTAACGAAGGATGAGTAATTGTAATGTGCTGTCATTGTGAACAGCGGAGAGAGAGAGAGAGAGCGTTGTATGATGTCGATAAAATGAGTTTTTATATCATTCTAAGCATTGAAGTTGATTCATCAGGTTATGGGATGCAAGTTTAGGACAAATTATATTTGTGCACATTGTCTTATAATCCACTCATTCTCCGATTTTCATTTATCACTTCGGATTCATTTCGTCTTTTAATCGGTTGATATTTATTGTTTCTTCTCGCTGTGTATGTGTAAATGCCTTGAGTATGTATGTGATCTTTGATGGAAATGTCTACTGTACGAATATATCACCAGGTTTTCACTGTGAACTGTCTTTTTAATAGTACTAGAAATGGGAATTTGTGCTTACTGTCTGATAATCCCAATGGATTATTATAATAAATCTGTAAGCATTTAATTTCTAGACTTGATTGTATTTTGAGGATTTCAGAGTACTGGTGATGAAACTGTACAGACTATTGTTAATTCATTGTCCATATATTCTATAATTTATTTTGAACTTTACTCGAGTGGACAATATGTGGTGTTTTTATGAAGTAACGATTTCCTTGTACTTGTTGAATGCTTGATTTTGAATTCTAAATACAGTATATTCTTTCGTGCTTATCTAGTACTTCTTGATTAAATTGCGTTATTTCTGGGATTTCTAGTTTGTACTATAATTCAAATACTCCTAATTATCATATTAGCGTCGCGATGGAACAGTCAGATATTCATTCCACTTCTGAAACTCGTGAGGATTATTTGGAAAGGTTTGAAATCTGGAGCATGACTAAGCAAGATGTTAAGGGTGATAAAGGTGTGGTACACTTCCTTACATTCATCGGAAAAGAAGCCTGCAGTTTAACAAAGTCTTTTGCATATCCAGAAAAGCCTATCTCACTTCGTTATGCAACTCTTAAGGGACTATTATTAAATCATGTAAAGTGCACCAGTTTTGAATGTCGTGAGAGGGGGAAATTTCATTAGATTATTTGTCAGAATAGTCAGAAGGTTTAGATCTCAAAAATTCGGCTGTTTCTAATGATCATGTGTCTTCATCCACCGTTATTGTGGACACAGACAGTATCAAGTCCATTATTTCATTCAAGAACTTGAAATCTTCAGATCCTAACGTTGTGGTACGACCCAGTGATGTCTCGATGTTATTATTATGGATTACTGGACACAGACTGCCCATAAGAGGATGCTGTGGATTGCTAATATGAGATGATAATTCTTCATTCATGCCTTCTCAATTATTAGTTAGCGAGACAGGACTACCAATACTCGGTTTAAAAATTTTGAAAAAGGCCTAAAGTAAAGTTGACTTTACTAGTTTCTAGAAATAAATCTGATGCTTTACTTAAATATTTGATAGCTGCGTGTGCTAAGTGCAATAGAGGTATGAAAATTCAGCCTTTAAAAGTACAGGGTGATCTGGTATTTCTTAAAAGACGAATAATTCCTTATGGTCTTCAAGAAGCAGCACTTAAGGAATTGAACGATTTGTGTCCGAAAGGTATAATTAAGCCAATTTAGTCCAGCTTAAGGTACTCCTATTGTTACGTTATTTGGCTGGGATGGAAAGACCCCTAGAATATGTGGTCACCATAGATTAACACTGAATTTCGTTTGTTGAAGCAAAAATGCACGATGGTAGAGGCTGAAGTATTCTAAATTGACTTCATGGTTCTAAAGTGTTCTCTTCGTTTAATTGAGAATATTACGGTGAATCCAAATAAGTTTTCATTTGTGTATCTAGTTTCGAATGTCTTGGATACCTAGTTGATGGTAATATTTTTAGACCAGAGATGTAACGACTAGCTCCACCGATAAATGCACCGTCTCCAAGGTATCTTACAGAACTACGTTCACTAGTGGGTGCTCTTTGTTCCTATTGTTTCTTGTCGTGACACTTGCTTATTTAATATTTCGATATCCAATTAATTTAAATGGGGTGAGGAACAAAAGTCATGCTTATGAAGTCTACTAAACTTTCTTCAAAGTGATGCTGTTCTTCGAACTTACTCCCCTAGTGTACATTCTATAGTTATTAATGATGCATCACCTGTGAGCATTGGTGCAGTTATGGAGTAGGAAGGTAAGCCAGTTATCTGTGTTTCACGCAAACTTACTGTTACTGAACAAGGTAATTCACAAACTCAGCGAGAAGCATTGGCTGTTTTGGACTGTTAAATGACTTCATAAATATCTGTTCGGAAGGAAATTGACTATTGTTACTACTACTGTTACCGTTGTTGCTACCTTGTTGTGGTGGTCGGGCTTGCCTATCGTGATGAAGCAACCGAGCTATACTGGCTGGAACAACCGTTCCTCAAGGTCCTACCATGTCAGACAAGTCGGTTGAAGAGCAGTAAGACTAAAAGCAACAAACCCAAGGTCCGAAGGCAAAGTCGTAC